AAGTTCAAATATTCAAACTCAACACAAACAACAGAGATTTGTTTGTGTTGAGTTTTTGCGGATCCCCATTACCGTAAGGCAATTTTATTTATTTATTTATACACATAACGCATATAAATCAACAATTAGATAATGCAAATTACGCGCGACTAATGTTTGTTTGTTTTTAATGTGTTATTTATTATGTTTAAGTAGCTGATAAATACAATTTATTAACTATTAGAAATGGGTTTAAAGTAGATATAAATTATTGATTTATTATTAGTATTTTTATGGTTAATAAACTATAATAACAATCTATAGTTTAGATACTATATTAAACTAATCAGTAATTAATTGTTTAAAAGATGTATTAGGAAGTGAACCTTATATCATATTTTTTAATCTAAACATTTAATAAATTATATTAAAATCAAACTAAAAATATGTTCAAAAGCTAATTAATCACTTCATTAGAAACATCAGGATAATATATATTAATTTTTAATTTCCTCATAATTTATATTTGTTATTTAAGGTTAATTTCATGTAGTTTTTATATTGTATTTTAATTATAAGAACATTCTTAATTAACCAAAAAACTGAGACTGAACCTTATTAAATTCAATAGCTTTTCAAAGAAGAAAAAAATGGGTGCGGATTTCTCTACAGGTGTGGGTTTATCTCCTCACTTTACTTCTTCTTCTGACAAAAATAAAAAGTAATTTTGATTCTTTAAAACTTTTCATTTGTCTAAAAATTGATTTAATTTCACAAAGTCGTCATTCACTTGATTCTATTGAAGAAAAAAGTAGAAGAAAAGCAAACATTTCCAGTTGGCTTGATTAAGCACTTTTATTATTTCCAAAACTTCTTACAAAATTTTTATTGATTCAATAAAAAATGTGCTGGTACAACTATCGACTTCGCGTTTAGGAGAAATTCTGGTTATTCTACTTACATCCCCAAATTACATAATATTTAATATGCAGTTGATGGAAGAGATCAGTCTGTAAATCTCCTCAGAATAAAATAAGTTTGAGCTTATTTGGTCAACAAAATATTTTCTTCCTACTAGAGTAATCACTCTGGTTTAAAAACGAAGTAGATTGTGAACTATTTGGGAATGGCGGTCAGTGTGATTACACAGATATCATGCGCGATGAACGACGAAAGTGTATTAAAAATTTACTTTTTGGAAACACGTGTTAAAGCTGGGCAATTACTTTTGGCAGATGGAGGATATTCTTCGTGTGACTGTTGTGTCATTCCACAAAGAGAAAATCCCAACATATAATACACAACAGAACAAAAACAGTATTTGGATGAATATAACAATGTTCACTCGATGCTAGGAAATTTATCCCAGGACGAGTTCTCCCATTTTTGTAGTATTTATAAAAATGTTGTTTAAATAATAATTACAATCATTTATTTGTTTTATTTTTAACTATTTTAAGCTACTATATAGTGTTTAAAGCATAAAAACAAGTTTTTATTATTATAATTGAACAAATATGGTTATTTTTTTATCAATAATATCAATAAACATGTAAATATATTTTTGGAAATTTTGATCGAGTTATTTAAAATAAAAATCAAAAAATGCATTTTAACACATTTCGCTGCACAAATCAATGGAAAATATATTTGCAAATAATTTATTTTACTATACTGATGTTGTCACAAAGGCAAAAAAGATTCAATAATTCATCATCAGCAACAAAAATATAATCAAACTATTTTAAATAGAAACTAAAACATAATAAAATGAAAGTTAAAAATAAAATTTTTGTATGAGTAGGTTTTTTGTAACGTGTTAGTTATGTTAAGATTGCCAAAAATGTGTATGAGGCATTTTAAGTTTTATTTTTTTGTTTTTTTTATTGAAAAAAAGGTAATTATTTTGTGTTGTGTTTTTCTTTTGAATATATATTAATATAAAAGTGAAGTATTTATAAATTATTTTAAAATAAAGATGGATCATACTATATAAATCGGTTATTAAAATAGTTCAAAATCCAAAACTAATACCAAATATTTATTACAATCGAACAAAACACAAAAAAACAAAATCGTTTTATATTATTATACATTTAAATCAACAATTATTTACATTGATATATTTTTTTAATTCGAAAACAAGTTAAAAAGAAAGGTTTTCTGTTCATAACATGAGATAATCGATATATAATACCAATAAAAAACTTAAAATAACAATCAAAATTACTAACAAATGGACAGTCCAACTCAAGAACACAAAGTTGAATTTGTTTATTTAACAAAAAGAACACTTTTACCTTGTTTTGAAGGTTATATTTTTTATTCAAAAGACTCTTCACATAAACGGTATAGTTGTCAAGATTGTGGAATAATTATTACACTTGTAAAAGAAGTTGTTGATGAAGAAGTTGATTATCTTGTTGGACCAAAGCCACAGCATTTGAATGGTCATACAAATCACATGGAATATATTCAGAGATTGAAAGAAATACAAAAAAATCAGAACAGAAATTTATGATGATAAAAACTAATATAAACCAGTTAAAAAATAGTAAAAAATTGTTTAATAAACACCAATTCAAGACTGAGTGTGTCCAGTAGATTAGCAAGAACATATAAAAATAAATAATACAAAACAGTAACCATTGATAATTATTTTGAAAGTGAAAAAGTAAAGGACATTTTATTGTATAGAAACGAAGACAATACAATTATAATTATTGGTTCGAAATCAATGTTAGAAAAAGCCACATACGTCAATGTTATTTGTGTAGATGGCACTTTTAGTAGGTGCCCAACAACCCATTATCAGTTGGTGACATTTCATGTTGTGTGTAGTGATTTTTTTTCATTTTGTTGTTTTTATGTTTTGTTAAATAAAAAAAGATGCAATAGTATACAAAGAAGTATTATTTGTTATTGATCAAATATCTTTGATATTATTTGGTGTTCAAATTTTTAATAGAACCGATTTGACAATAAATTCCGATTTTGAGGCAGGTTTTATAAAATCTATTAAAGATTTGAGTTGTCAAATGAAAGGGTGTTATTTCCATTTTACACAATGTTTGTGGCGGAAAATTCAAAACTTTGGCTTGTCTGAAAAATATAAGTGTAATGGGCAATTCTCCAAAGAAGTAAGAAGACTTATGACACTTCCTTTTTTGAAAGAAACAGATTTAAAACATCAATTTTATATATTACAATCACGTTTAAAAGATAAAGATTCTTTTGTTGTTTATGAATATTTCGAAAACACTTGGTTAAATGATGTAATGATTTCGATTTGGTGCCACCACTTTTCAATGATGCGCACCAACAATATAGCAGAATCCTTTCACAGCATGCTTTCTCGAACCATTCTTACACCAAAACCATTTTTTGGAAAATTTATTGATCATTTGTTGGACATTATAAATGAGACCGACATAAAAGTTCAAACTGAAATGACAAATCCAAAAAGTTAGAAAACCAAACAAGAAACCACTAAGAAGTGTATTCAAATGTTAGTCAATCTGTTTTACACTGATAAAATTATAAATTGTAATATTGAATTGTTGTTAGATACTATTTTTGCAAAACTTCATTCGAAAAACTCGTTTGAATGCTTTTTTGAATCGGAAGGAGAAACACTTGAAAGTATTAATTCAAAGGAAATTCAAAATATAGTAAGTAGTACACAAATTGATTGTGTAATAATTGGAGAAAAAGAAATGGAAAAAAATATCAAGTCTTGAACAAACAATAACGAACAATTCAAGCCAATCGAATTTGATAAATGAAATGGAAACTAAAACTTCGGATAATTCAAATACGCCCAATTGTTATTTTCAAAGTGCTCGAAAGTTGAATGAAAATAAAACAAAAAGAAAATGCAACTGCTTGCTATTAACAAAAAGGCAAAATAATTTAAGAAAAATTTTTGCAAACAAAAACGCCAAACCAAAAAAATAATTGATTATGAACTTTAACGTGTTTTGTGGTTTTTGTTTTTTGTATTTTTAGTTTATTGTAAATCAAAAAAATAAAATAGATTATGTGCTGAAAAGAATGTTCTGTTAAAATTAGGAGAAATAATCATGGGATAAAAAATTATCCACCGTTCACTCTTCTTGTAGAAGTATAGTTGAAATGTATTTGGATAACTGGTGAGCACTTTTAAGTTGATGAAGTGCCAATGGACAATGAATCTTTCTTATTATGAATACTACACCATCTTTGTTCATGCCATTCTTAATTATAAAATATTTAAACATCCACTTCACAACATTTATTTTTACTTGTTTCATTTAGAACTTGTTACTTCACCAAAAAATATGGATCTTTTCACAATTCTTCTCCCTCCCACAATTAGAGCCAGGATACCCGACTTTCTTAAAGATAATGACGTTACCGCAATAGCAGATGGTGATAAAGAGTTTGATTAAAGACATTCCAACTAAATACGTCTTTATTTAGTTAGACCACAGGAAAACATAAACTTAATAATAGCAATTGTTGTAAATAGATAATATAATTAAAAATGTTATATTAATTAGTTATTGATTAAAATTCAATTATAGTTTTTGTTTAATTTGATTATTAATAAGTTTTGTAGTTATTTATAAAGCCATTTTTATTAATATAATGAACCTTTGATTATAGTAAAAAAAATATAATTCTAAAATATAGTTACGTAAGTCATCTATAGCTCAGTTAGGTATTTTATGGTGGGTTAATTAACGAGGTATATAGTTAACTAACTATAAGGTATTTAAGTTACTTCTCGGGTGTGACTAAAAAATATACAATTCAAATTTAAGTTGATAAAAAAAATAAATAGAAAAAACAAAAAAATTGTCATGTGAATGGAGGCAAAAAGAGTTTAAATATAAGAAAAAAATAAAAACTTAATATTATTAAATTTCTGTTTACCGTTTTATTATATTTTGATTTTTTAAGTTAAAAACGATTTTTCGATGTTTTTTGGAAAAATTTTTTGATATTTTAATTTTACTAAAAATCTGTAAAATTTAAAAATGACTTCAGTTTTGGAATTCGTCTTTTTAAAAAATGTTGTGTTATACTTGGAAACCATAAACGATGTTATAAAATTTTTAATGATTAATAAGAAGTTGCGAAGCGTAGTGGAAAGTATGTACATCAACACATACAATTTATCGAGTTCAACAACAATAGAAAAGATTCTCAAAATATTTCCAAATCTTGACACTCTTTATATTAATTCCATCATGTCACCAATATGTACACTTTCAGACACATCAATCCCACTTATTGAAGCAAATAAGTCGATGTCTTCTTCGAGTTTAGTCGAATCAATGAACTCAAATTGGTTTCCATCGAAAGTTCGCAAGATTCACGTTTCTTGGAAAGAAATAGAAGCTCTTGGAATTAACGCGAGTTGTTTTACACAACTTAAAAGTGTGTTTATTGATTTTACTTTCAATGAAGATTATTCTTCATATTTACCGAAGATATATAACATCAAATCACTTGAAAAGGTAATTGTGTTATTTCCCGAGTCTATAAAAAGAGACGTTGCCAATTACGACTTTTCGACTCGACGAGATGTTGACTTCATATTTGTAATGTTTTATGATGAATGCTCACTTGTACGTACTAGCGTAGAAAGTGGCATTACACATCATGTGCCTTTACATTTACTTCCTGATAATGTGAAGGTGTATTCCCAATTTCTCTCACAAGATGTTCTTGATTATGCTTATCATTTTATTCCAAAATTTTCCAAAAAAGTTGGTGAATTCCAAAACATCATTTGTGTATCGCCAAATCTATCGGAACACAATGAATTGATTGAAAAGACAATGAAAACGTGTTATGTTGATTGTGTGCAATTTGTTGGTATTGATATATCGTCTTATGAAAAGTACACTAAAACAAACAAAGAAGATCCTTTTCTTAAGTTTAATTACATTGACATCAAAACCATTAGAGGAATTTGGATCAAATACGTTTCACTGGGTAAAATCACTTTGCCTCAAAATTTAAAAATCCTCACATTACAAAATGTCAATGGAATTTCACTTGAAAATGAAATTAACACAGAAGAAATTTACATCGAAAATTACAGCGGAAAACCTCTGAAAGTTAATTATAAAAATTTAAAGAAATTTTTGTGTATGAATTCAATGAGATACATTTCATTTTTTGACAACAATCAAAAATTAACCAATTTTCGTTTTGACTGGGATGTGTGTGACTATTTTTTGGTAAAAAACAAAGGAAACTCATTTAAAATTGAAATAGAAAAAGAAAATAAGGTTATTTCCCAAATCAAGACATCATCATTCGAGTTAGTAAATGGGTGTTTGACACTTAATGAGTGTGATGGGTTTACTTTAACAAAAATTTCGTTGAACGAATTAAAAATGAATGGGAAAGGGTTGTGTGAAACCATTGAATTGGGGGATATAAAAACAGTTTTAATAGAAGACACAAATGTGAACAATCTCATTATGGGAACATCTAATGATGTAACACTTGTTAATTGTAATGTCAAAGTATTTAAAATAGTTGCAGCTTCACTTTTGACTCAAAGAAACACAAGAATCCAACGTATAGATGTTGTTGAAACAATTGGTGACACTATCATAGAAAATGATAATACTTTTATAGATACAACAAACGAAAAAAACTTTCTGGAAACGAACAAAGACAAACAAAAAGAAGCCAATTGTTTCATTCAATAATTAATTCAATTATTTTTAATTTGAAAAGGAAAATTTTAAAAACAAAAATAATTTAATTGTCTTTTCCAATTTCGTCAAGTTGTGCTTTCATACGTTGTTCTCGCCTGTTTATTATTTCTTCAATCTTTTCTAAATGCGTATTATCATCAAGTCCATTATATGCAGTTACTTCTTCATTCAACAAAATGACTTGTTTACTGATTTGATCAAAAGTTGGTCTTATTTTAGGGTCTTGTTCCCAACATTTTTTCATTAGCTCTTGATATTTTGCAGGCATCAATCCATCAATTTTAAGTCTTTTACCAGAATTGACATATGTTTGAATATCAAAAACTGAACGAAGTTCATGATACGGTTCTTCTTGGTAAAACAATTCCCAAGCCGTGATCCCATAAGAGTAGACATCACCAGCAAAAGTATATTCATCTCTAAAAGTCTCTGGTGCTGCATAGATTGGTGTGCCAAGTCCTTTGTCTTGTTTTTTACCGATTGTTTTCTTAGTGAATCGTGAAGTCCCAAAGTCAGTGATTTTAATAGAACATGCACTGTTGGGGTCTAACGAATTGACTAACAAATTGTCTGGTTTCAAGTCCAAATGCATAATTCGATTTTCATGTAAAAATTGCATTCCACGTGATGTGTCAAATAACATTCTAACTTTTAGTTTGTATGGTAGTTGAATGTAATCAATTCTATCTTTTCTAAGATATTCACTGAGTGATCCCAAAACAAAGAATTGAATGACCATTGACACCTGTGGGATGTATGTGACAGACCCCATATAACTTGCTATAAACGGATTTCGTAACTTACTCATGATCTCACACTCAGCAACGACATTTTTCTTTAACTCAGACATATCATCATCACTCAAGTTTTCCCATCGGAACTGTTTGACAGCGACTGGAACACTCCGATAACTACCAATATACACTTTACCCATCGCACCTTCAGCTATCGGCTTTTCAGACATATTCAATTCATCCAAATCAATATGCGTCGAACTTGCAGCATCTGTTTTTATAGTCAAATGGTAGTGGATTTGATGTTGAATGTTCTTTTTAAGACTTTCGATTTTAGTTTCATCATCAGCCGTCCAATTTTCAAAGTTCTTGTCTTTGAGGATATCACTTATTTCAAAAAGTGTCCTTTTTGATTTGCTGAACCAAACTGTGTATGGGATTTTCAATTCCCGAATTTTGGTCGAACAATGTATTGTAATGTATGATGTAACAGTTTTTGATGTACGAGAAGAAATGATATTAACTTGTGGTTCAAAATAAAATGTAAATTTGGGGGAATTAGGCGTGTGGAAAATGAGTAACATACTATATAATTAGGTTGTTGTTTGAATAATTATATATTAATTAAAAATAAATTTAACCTTTAAAAGTTTTAAAATGGGGATTTTTAATAGTTTATGAAACATTAATTATTTACATTATGATTGTTGTTTATTGTACACTTTTAATAACAAACTATTTGTTTTTACTTGCATTTTTCACTTCCATTCTTTGAAATCTTGTTTCAAAAATATTTGTTGCTTGATTGTCGTTTCCATAGTCCAACTCCACTGGATCAATATAATATTTTGATATTTTTCCTGGAAGTTGTCTCTTTGATCCAGTAATATAAAAATGGTACATTGGTTGTTGTGTTTTGTAAATATCAATATCTACCTTTTTGTATCTTAAACCATAATATATCAGAAACCCAAATATTATCACAAGTACCAAAAACACAAATAAAGAAGCAGAAACAATTCCAGCGATTGCTCCACTTGTAATTTTGGTTTTAAGAATACATGAAGTTTCATCGTTTGGATCAGTAATAAAATCTTCATAACATTTGCAATATTTATTACAGTTTGTTCCATTATCGCATTCTTCTTTTCTTAAAAAATTACCATTTGAGTCGTACAAATCGTCTATAAACCCATTTCCACACACTTCGGCCCGACACA